ATGGACATGCACCCCTCCCTGCGTGGGTGACAGCGTTCTCCTGAAACGTCTTGACAGTGCCTTTGTTCCTCTGAAATAAAAGAAAATCGAGCTACAAAGGGAAACCTCAGGTAGCTTTTAAAGGGGGCTCAGCTGCCTGAGGCACAGTGTGTTTAAGCTAGAGGCAGTTGTCACAGGAGCAGAAGGGGGAGCTGCCTGCAGTCTCCCTTCCACCCCCTCACTACCCCCCATGATCAAGTTTACTCAAGGAAAAGGCTCTTCCAAATAGCGGCAAAGGAGGAAATCAATGAAAATTGATAGAGAAATGTAAAGCAGCTGTCCACTGTGTGTGTGTGTGTGTGCGTGTGCGTGTGCATGTGAGTGTGTGCCCATGTGCAGCAAAAGCATGCTGCCTGGACCCAGGCTGACCTGCTTAGGGCCAGGAAGGCCAGGGACTGGGAGTCACTCCAGCCTTGCTGACAGGGGGGTGCTGGTGGCTGGGGGAGGGGCACCAGCCCAGTCTCACTCTGAGTTAAGAGAGAGATTAATACATTCAATCTGCTCAGGGTAATTGAGGGAACAATCGGAGTGTTTTTCTAAAGCCCATAAAACTGCCTCATTTGCAAGGAGGCTCTGACCTGCTCCAATCCTCTGTATTTGCTGGAGCTCAGGGAGGGAGGAGGAGGGGTGACCATGTAGTCCCTATTCTGAGGGACTCGGGGACAGTTAGCCTGGGAGGGGGCCAGCAGGCTGGGTCTAACCTCTTCTCACCTTTCCCACCTCTCACCTCTTAGTAGCATCCCAGGCACTGCCTTCTGGAGCCTTTGTTTCCCCACCTGTGAAATGGGCTGTGGGTGTCCTCCTCCTATAGGAGGGTGGGAGGGAGTGGCGGCACAGGAGGCATCTCTAGATGAGGCAAGCTGGCAAGGACGGCAAAGGTCTGGCACTGGGGTGAAGGGGTGTGAGCAAAGAGGTGCCCAGCTCCCGCAGCCGGCCCAGCTCCCCACCCCCACCCTGAGACGAAACAGGCAGTAAAGTTAATGAAATCCACATTGTGTGCCTTTCTCCGCTTGAACCATTCCAGTCTCCAGGGCAATAGAAACAGCGTATGCAATAGCGAGCAATAAAAGGCACAATGAATTTAAAAAAGTAAAGAGGGGAGGAGAGTGAAGACCTGAAGTGCACCGGGCAGAAGGCTGTAAGCCCACGGCCTGGAGCACGGGGCGGAGCTCAGGCCCGAATGGGACCGGAGGGGGTGGGGGAGGGGACAAAGGAAAGGTAAGGGGGAGAGGGACAGGGAGGGAGGGAACAAAGGGAGAGAGACGGAGCCAGAAGTTTAGGGACAGAGAGGGTAGAGGGGACGCCCAGGGCTGGCCACCGCCAGCTCCGTTCCTCTCCACTTCTCCTTAATGAAAGCCCCCAGCCTGTCGGTGCCAAAGCCACAATCAGAAGCCACAGGCTTAGAGCCAGGTGCTCAGCATTGGGTGATTGCTTTATTAGCTTTTTCTTCTTTTTTTCTCCCTCCGGGGCAAAAAGAAAAAAAAAAGGTGTCTTAAATGGAAAGAATACGGAAAAAAAAAAAAAAAGACCCTTGAAAGCGTCATTTAAAAGGCTCCTGGGGAACAGAATCGTTTCCATGAAACAAAACTGCAATTGTTTTGGAAGAGGTAAATGCCAGGTTGTAGGGGGGTGGGAGCCCCCACACCCTCCCTTCCCCCAGCTCCCGCTCCAGTGGGAGGATGCTCACTCGCTGGCTCAGAGAGTGAGGGAGCCCCCATCATGGCTCCCACAGCTAGATACAAGGAATTTTCAAGTTCATGTTTCCAGAAATTTCATCACTGGGAATTTCCAGCCCAAGGTTTTGCTCTTAAAAGCTCTGCCTGTGGGAATTTGTCCTTAAACCTTCAGGGTCTCTTAGAGAGGTCCAGGGAGGTGCCAGAATGAATGTGGCCCCTGAGAACCCTGTGGCTCCAGCCCCAAGGCTGTGGTGTCCTTCCCCTGCCCTCCAAACCCCCAGGAAAGAATAGAGCCAGAGTCACCCCAGCCAGCTCAGCAGCCAGACTGTGTCCTACACTTTGCGGCTCTCCTCACCCTCAGGGATGCTGTCTACCCAGCAACTGGACAGGCCACACTCTGGTCAGATAAACTCCCTCTTACTCTGGGGGAAGGAGAGCTGTGGGGGTGCTGGCGTAGCACAGCTATGTGGCCTTAAACCTGCCAAGAGGATCAGGAGGTAACGTCAGGGGACAGGATGGGTCTGGTGGAGCTCTGCCCGGAAAGGAAGCCACTAAACACCTAAACACTCCATGCAGCTGGTGGCAGGAAACCTGGAGATGGCTCCCTCCCACGCACAGGAAACTTCCCTCTGCAGCTCCTGCCTGTGCACCCCAGCCCCCCATCCGTGGGTTAGGGGCCAACTGAGTGATCTCCATCCTGGAGTCAGACTGTACCTGCCCGAAACATCCAGAGGAGATCTGCCCTTCATCACCTCCAACCTCCGCCCCCCACCCCGCCCAACACACACACAGGAGGAAACAAGGCCAGGAGAAGGGAAGGTGTTCCCTGTCCATATGAGTGTGTGTGTGTGTGTGGCGGGGGGGGGGGGGGGGGGTGTCGATTGCTCCAGTGAGGTCTCCGGGATTTGGGAAACGCTGTGACCAGCCCCGGTGTGTCATTTTATGGCTATGTATCCTGTGGGCCATGGCTGTGGGACACAATGGTTCAGAGTCAAAGTCAGTCACTGAAGCTCACTCAGAGCCCTGTCTCCTGCTGCCTACTCAGTCTCGATCATTGCATTCCTAACCCCTTGCCCTCTGCCCACAACGCCACACTTGAGCCTCATGACCATGATCAGTTCTGGTCTAAACACTGACACACAGGGCGCCTGGGTGGCTCAGTCGGCTAAGCATCCTACTCTTGATTTCGGCTCAAGTCATGATCTCATGGTTCATGAGTTTGAGTCCAGCATTGGGCTCTGCACTGCAGAGCCCACTTGGGATTCTTTCTCCCTCTTTCTCTGCCCCTCCTCTGCTTGCTCTCTCTCTCTCTCAAAACAAATAAACATTAAAAAAAAAAATACCCAACACACAAGTTGAACAATTTGTGAGTTTGGAATACAGTTGCAAATGGAATAGATTCATTGGTTCACATGCCTGAGGCATACAGGACTGAAGATAGTCGGGAAGGAACAAAATCCATGCAGAGCAGGCTTCCTGGAGGAGGTGATCTTGAGCCTACCCCTTTGCATCTGCAGCCCAGAAATCCATTCCTGGCCCTGAACTGCATGCAATGAATGCGGTCTCCTCTCTCCAACCTTCTGGATCATTGTCACCCTACCCTCACTTTCAGATGTCTTTCTCCTCCTCTTCAGTTGAGAGCCAAGGAGGGCTGGGTGAAATCCTTCCCTCCAGGGCTCCATTTTCTCCATCTGCACAGAGGGGAAGGAGGAGGGTTTCAAAGATCCCTGTGGCTCTAGGCTGGGGAGCTGGCCACAGGCATGCAGCCCCAGCTCCAGTGTTGAGCCTCTAAGTCCCGGCTCCAGAAAGGTACCCACCTTCCTCAGGCTGATCTGCTGGATGAGTTCACCTGAGCCGAAAGAAGGCAGCACCTCTATACTCTGAAGGACCCCGCTGCATTATCTGTCCCCTACCAGTTTCCTGGCCCTGTTGTCGGGGTTGTGATTGCTGAACCCCCAGGAGGGAAGCTATTTTCCTCTCCCTTGAAAGCCATTTTCTTGTCTTGGTGGAAGCAGACATCTGACACTTTAAGAGGGAGAATGGCAGGGAGATGATGGCATTAAATAACAGAAATTAGAGCTGCCGAGGACGGCTCAGCCACCCTGAGGCCCCCCCTTCCCTGCGACAACCGCCCCGCCACATGCGTTCAGGGCTGCAGCCTGCAAGCTATCTGTGAGCCCCCGCCTCGGCCGCAGAGAGCAGGGGACTGCTTCTCCCTGAGTTCTGAGTCTCGTGTATGAGTATGAGTGTGTGTGTGTGTGTGTGTGTGTGTGTGTAGTCCTATGACAAACTAGGACAGAGGGGCCAGGGCCCCAAAGTCGGTCTTGCTTGCAGTCTGAGAAAACAGAATGTCACAGAGGAACCCAGGTAGTTCCAATACCCTCACAAACCCCTAGGGCATCCTCAGAGCCCAGCACACAGCCCTGGGCATACAATAGGTGGTGAAAAGTATTTGTTGATTTTTTAAAGGTATTTGTTAATTGACTGATGAATGAATGACGGAACAGAGGCCAAAGGGGTCCACATAACAGGCTGAGACCTGGCAAGAGAAACTGGCCCCTGAGTTCCTTCCAATCTTTCTGGCACAGGCCACCAGGTCACATTGTATCTTTCTCCCACCCCAGCTCTTTGGCCACCGAACCCTGATTCTCTCCGCTTTCCCTGACCCATCAGCCTACCCCAGCCTGATCAGCACCTCCCCTCCCCCGGGCTCCCCTTCAGCCCCAGGACAATGCACTGCCCGGGAGAGGGGCTGCAGGAAAAGCCAGCCACCTTTGGCTCCAGACTCAGCTCAGTCTCCTGCTGTCAGCTAAACCCTTTCCTTCTCCTCAGCCAGCTTCTTCCAGTCTCTCCTCCTGGAATACCTTCCCCAAAGCCCAGAACTGACAGCCGGAGATCTTATCCACCTTAGTACAGGGTCTGACAGAGTCAGCGCTTAACAAATGTTTGATGGATGAATGAACATGTAAATGAGTGATGAACCAACATGTGAAAGACTCATCTCCAATAACATCTTTTCAGAGGCTCCAAAACCTGACCTGCACACTCCCTCACCAGAGTGCCCCTTCTAGCACACGGCCTCCAGGACTATCTGAGGCCCACACCGTGCCCACTGCCTTTAAGCTGGGCGGCACCGTGAGCTCCGGGACTGACCTAGCTTTGGATTCCATGCACAACTGCACACTGAGTTCCCCAGGAAATGTTGTTGGTATTAAATGGAATCAAGCATCCTTGGGGATGATCCTCAGTTTCTCCACCTGTGATACGGGCTGCTACTTGCTCTACCAGCCTTGAGGCCCACCAGACACACTGCCGGCTGCGGAACACAGCGGTACTGGACACCCTCCTTCCGCTTGGACAAGGACCAGACTCTTACTTGGGTCCGAGGCTGCCACAATCGTGTCTCAGGGCTGAGTCCCTCCTGGCTGTGGTGGGCGCTGGAGGGGCTTAAAGGGGGACACCCACAGACTTCTGTCTCCTGGTCACTTTGGGCATCCCTCAAGACGGGTATCCCTCAAGACCTGGTGACGACGTGTGAGATTGAGTCTGGGGACTGAAGGCTCTCGGGGGACACTCACCCACTGGGCAAAAGAAAACCCACCCCGTGGTGTCCCCGCTCTGTGTGGGCTTTGCTCTATTTTTCTGTCTTCCCCTTCAGACTGGGACTCCCTGCCCCCATCCTCAGACTTAGTATTCTCCGGAACTGAAGGAGGCCGCCCTGGGAAGTTCTGGTGCTCTGCTCGGGATTGGGGACATCCAGGCTTATCAGAGACTCTGGGTCTCCTCACTGGGGAAGCAGTGAAGCCAGAACCTGAGCGGGGTCCCAGGGAACACCCACCTGCAGCCCGGGCAGCTGGGGCTCTGGGCGTGATGCAATGGGGCCTGGCTGGCAAGCCCCTGGAGGGCAGTTTGGGACTGGAGGCTGAGGTACTGGCGGAAGGCCACATTGTAGGTCAGGCCCCCGCAGTGGCGGGCCATGGGGTCCTCGCTGGTGTGCAGCAGGGCTAGGCGGCCGCAATGCAGGTCCTCGTGCTTCCGCGCCCACAAGTTCATGGGGCGCTGGTCTGGGCGCTGGAAGACCAGGAAGATGGCCTCGCCCAGCCGCTGGGCGGGCCGTTCCGGGGCCCCGCCCACCCGCAGCACCTCCACCCGCATGCGCGTTGTGCTGCCCATCGTCGTTCTTGCAGAATCCTGGGTGGCGGGGTAAAGTGTTGGGTGGGGGACACACAGGCTCGGGGACGGTGACTGGGGCCTCCTTGCCTCTCCCAGGGGGTGGAGATGACCGGCAGGGCTCTCAGGAAACTTGGGCTGACTGCCCTTTGGCTGGAAGCTTGGCTAAGATTACCTGCGGTTGACATCTCTCGGGCCCCTCGCTTTACAGATGTAGGGATGGGATGGCTCTTACTCGGGTAGATGGTCCTGTATATGGCCTCGTGGAGGGAAGAGTGCAACCTATCCTTGATCTTTGGCCTCCTGAAGGCCTTGAACGTGGTTTCCCCATTCCCTCACATTCCTCCTCCTCTAGGAAGCCTGCCTAGATGGCCTCACAGTCTAGGTGTGGATCTTCTGCTCCTTCCAGATCACTTAACTATTCTCTGTTTGGGATTCCTGACTCTCTACCTAATCTGGAAGCTTCCTGAAGGCCAGACCCGGGTCTCTACCTCCCTGTCCCACCCCATACCCACAGTCCAGTGGTGCTCAGGCTGGGCGCTCAGTGTGACATCCAGCAGGACTGTGCCCAAATCTACTGTGTACTCAGCTCTTGTAAATTTACAAAGTCACTCTTCATGTGTCCTTTCATTTCTTGGTCACCCGAAACCATGTAATCAACATCATGTTGATCACACACATGTCTCCGTGTCACACTGAAGGAGGCAGGGGCTCACGGAGTGCCAGCATTTGCCCAAGATCATACAGGCCAAGCTTTGGGATCCAGTCTAGAGTTCTGACCCTGCCCCTCCCAGTATCCCTGAGGCTCCCCGGGGTCCCTGATAGGGGCTGAGGCAGGAGTTACAGGGTCCTTCTCTCCCCCTTGCCACCACCCTTTACTTCATACCTTTGGGCAAAGTAAAGACAAACTTGTTCCTGGTGAGGGTGAGGCTCTGGCCAGGATCCTGCTGCTCACTGGCATTGGTGACAGCAGAGCAGGTAGGGAGGAGGCCCCCATCATTTACCTGCAACTGTACCCCAGCCCCCGAGCCGGCCTGCAGGGGTTCTCAGCTGTCAGCTGCAGGGCATATCTGCCCTCCTCATTAACCCCTCCCTCAAGACTTCGAACTCCAGATTCAGTGCCTTCTCCTCAGCCTTCAGCCTCTGGTATTGCAGGGACGCAGGGACCCAGGGTTGAGGCCCCCTGAAGGCCATCATCTTGCCAAGGACTGACCCCAAGCTGAGCACCACCCCCTCATTCCCATAGCCCCAGCCTGGGCCCCATACTAAAGCCTGTACACTGGGCTCTCTGGGCTATACCTCACCCTCTCTGTTTGAGGAGAAACCAGGTAACAAGACAGGAAGCTGGGCCTGTTCTGGGGAACAAAGACTGCCTTTAATCCCTCCCTTTTAGCATTTGTTCATTCAACAAATATTTATTGAGCACCTAATGTATGCCAGGCACTATTTTAGACAGTTGGAATACAGCAGTGAACCAAATGAAGGTTCCTGCCCTCCTGAAATTTCTCTTCTAGTGAGGGAGGGAGGTTGGGACAGATACAAATAGACACTAAATATAGAAAATCAGTAAATTATAACATATGCTAGAAGATAAGTTCTACGGAAGAATTAGCACAGGTTCAGGGATGAGGAGTACTTGTGTGGGGAGCCCAGGGTAAGGGGTAATCAGGGCAGTAGCCCAGAGAGCCTATCTCCACATGCCTATTCATTGCCAGGAGTTGTTGAGTTGGCTGGGTGAGGGGGTCTCCAGGGAAAAAGGACAGCATTTATTCTCTGGGAGCATGGCCTTAGCACCTGCTTCTGGAACCAGTTTACCTTCACAATCCAAACTCACAATGTGGGGCACAGCTTCACTTTACAGGCTTCCCACACTAAAGAGTTGTCAAGCTGGAACCCATCCTTCCTGATGCTGCTGATACCCAAAGAGCAAAGGACATTCTGAACACTCCTCAGTAAAGAACGATCTACTATCACCACCACCACGATTACCATCTCTGCCGTCACCACCATCACCAACGTCACCATCACCACCATCACCACCATTTTCACTTCCAACAGCGTCATCATCATTATCATTATCATCATCCATGACACTCTTCATTGAGCAGTGGACACTCTATGTGGCTCTGGGACATAGAATCATGCCCATTTTACAAATGGAGAATCTGAGGCTGAGAGACTCTCAGATCACACAGCTACTAAGAAGCTCAGCTGAGATCTGTGTCTATACCTACACTTTCCCCTACTAACACATCCCGGGACTGACTCAAAGATTGAAATTCGTACTATCAGAGGGGCTTCTGTATCCCAGAACTGGAGAAGTACAGTTCTGAGTCCAAAAAGCACATTAATGGGTAGCATAGATTTCATTCCAGAGTTCACTTGAATTCACCTTGACTGGAATGCATTATTTTCATAAAGTAGGAGATATTGGTCTAAAGATGGTACTGGCCAGCCCCACTAAGGGTCCCAATGGATGTGGTTGGCTTCCTCTGCCATGACTAAAATTCAGTTTCTTCAGGTCCCCCAAGGAGAAATGGAGGCAAGGAGGGTTTAAGAAAACCAGAGTTCTAGTCACCTGACTTACACATGAACTTGAGCAGATCCCTTTCCCTCTCTGGGTGTCGGGGCCCTATCTGTAGCATAAGTGTGAGTTGGGCAGTAAGTCTTCCCACAGCTGTGGTGGTCTGGGGCTCTGTAAGCTGTATGGGGAAAGGCCATTTAGGGAAGAGAGTGGGTGGCTGAGGCCACCTGGAAACCTTTGCCTCCACAGCTGGGCCTGACCAATCAACCTGGGTCCAGAGGCCGTGGTTTGCCCCTGCTCGGTCTAAGGTCTTGGAGATTCGGTGATTCAGCTGAAGCAGCTCTCTTCCCTTACATGTTTGAAGTGACCCGACGAGACGTTACAAGATGAGAGTCACTCCCTTCTGCTCTGGGGCCAACTTCTGTGCCCTGCATCCAGCCCCACGTCCCTGCAGCCCCAGGTCCCGTGCACACAACTGTTCTTCTTAGTCCGTCTACCCTGAGCCACACAACATTTCTTTTTTGCTGCTCTCCTCTCTTCTTTCCCTCCCTCCAACTTTCTGTAAAAGGTCTGAGGTGGCCATGTTGGTCTCAGTATGATTTGAGGGTCCTCTACCCCTCCCCTTCTGGGCCTCCCCTCCCAATTCAGTCCCTGGGGAAGGCTGTGTGTGTGTGTGTGTGTGTGTGTGTGTATAGTTACCTTTTAAAATTGTGGTGACATATACATAAAATTCAGCATCTTAACCATTTCTAAGTGTGCAGTTCAGTGGTGTTAAATACATTCACATTATTGTGCAACCAAACTCCAGAATTCTTCTCATCTTATAAAACTGAAACTCTACACCCATTACACAACAACTCCCCATTTCTTCCTCCCTCCAGCTCCTGGCAACCTCCATTCTGCTCTGTGTGTCTATGAATGTGGCTGCTCCAGGCACCTCGCAGAAGTGGAATCATGCAGTGTTTGTCCTTTTGGGGCTGGCTTATTTCACCTAACAGAGAGTCCTGGGGAGGCTCACTTTTGCCCCAGGCCAGGCTTGCCCTGACTCCCCTCCCTGCCTTTGCCCCAAGTGCCCAGCCACACCTGGTGTCACCCCAGGTGTCCTGCAGACCGGCTAAAAGCCTCTTCCTCTGGAACCGGGTCAGTAATTCCCTCCTCCGCCCTACTCTACACCTTCCTCTTTTGGCTCAAGTGGTGACCTTTGCCATACTCTACTGAGTATTCCTTCAGGTATCATGTCTGTGTGTCCAGGTCAGGGCTGAGCAAGGGACAGGTGCACAGGGGACCATTAAAGCATTACTGAATGAATGAATGAATGAATGAATGAAAGGATAAATGAATCGATTGACAAACCTGGCCCAACTTTTGCTTACACAGAAAATAATACAAAGTCCTTCTTTTGGCTACTTCATCTGGATTCCATCTGCGAGAAATGAAGACCATTTTGGCCTTTTGACTCACACTTGAACTCAGAGATGCATCCTGGTGCCTCACTGGGCAGCCTGGTGCCCAGGAGGGAGGGTAGGGGATAAGCGGCAAGGCAGGAGGTAGTGGGTCCTAATGGTCAGGCTTCTCTGGGTCCGGCCTCCATTTTACAGAGGAAATCTGGAAACCTCAGTGAATTTTAGCAGGTCAAGGGCTGGATAGCACTCCCATTTTATGGATGGAAAAACTGAGCCCAGGGTAGAGACAGTGACCAGACCCCTGTTCCCTTCCCAGGATTCTTTCTGCTCCTCAGCTGCCTCCCTGATTCAGCCTTCTGTGGTTTTCAAAAAATTAAAAAAAAACTTTTTTATTGTTTTATTTATTTCTGAGAGAGAGAGAGAGAGAGTGAGAGAGAGTGTGTGAGTGGGGGACGGGTAGAGAGAGGGAGACACAGAATCTGAAATAGGCTCCAGGCTCTGAGCTAGCTGTGAGCACGGAGCCCGACATGGGGCTCGAACCCACAAACCGTGACATCATGACCTGAGCCGAAGTTGGACGCCTAACTGACCAAGTCACCCAGGTGCCCCTGTGGTTTTCAAAAGATTTAAGCAGCAGGCAGAGGCCTGGCTCCCACAGGAGTCAGGAAGGGCAGGGTGTGGGTGAGGAGGAGAGGCAGCAGTGCTGACTTCCAAACGGCCCTCCTCGGCCCAGCATGAAAGCCCTAATGGGGCTCTCCAGCCTTCTTTCTTCCCCGGAAGAATGGCCACTCAGAGGCCACTGGCTTTGTCTGCAAGAGCTTGGCCTGTAATTAGCCCACCCCAGAAGGCCCCTTCCTGCTTCCCACAATGGCTCCTTTCATCCTCCCTTGTTGACACCCCGCCATGGCTCCTGTGGGCCCTCAGACCCCCATCTCCAGCCCTAAGGAGCCACCTCCAGCTCCCCCTTCCCCCTGACTCCTGGGCTCTGCTCAGAGCTGAATCCTCCCAGTGGGAACATCTGTGAGTTTCTGGACCTTCCCAATAGTGCTGGCACAATTATCCCCTTGGACAGATGGGGAAACAGAGGCTCAGAGAGATCAGGGAGGGGAGTGGAGGGACGGACCTGCACCTCAGGCCTCCGGATTCCCAGGCCAGTATGGTCCTGTGGTCATCGCTGCGCCCCCCTGGGATTTTGGCACCCAGCCTCCCTCCAGCGGCCTCTCCCCCGAGCCCTCCAAGTGGCACAGTCCCCACATCCCACTTGGTTCAAGTCCACAGCACCAGCAGCCGCAGGGTGATAGAATCCTGGACTCACGCTGGCAGTGAAACAAGGCAGCCGGCCTCTCTCGAATGCACGGATAGGAAATCAGGTGCAGAGCAGCAAAGAGCTTCTCCTGTGGTCGCTCAGTAGCTGGTAAAGGCAAAATTAGAAGTCTGGTCCCTTCCCTCCACCGATTGTGGGGGTCAGGGCTGGGGCCTGGCTACCTTGAAGCTCTCCCCTCTGAGAGGTGAGTCTGATCGGGTCCCCACGCCTCCGGCGGCATGGTCAGGCTGCGTGTCCTTCCCCCACCCCGACCTCCCGCTCCAGCTCTGGCAAGGAGCACTGGGAGGAGAGCCTTGGGTCATCCCTGCACCCCTCTAGCTCTGGCCTTCAGCTGAGCAGGAGTAAAGGCTGTGTCCGTGACCCCTGCGCTCACCCGACAGCCCCTCTCTGCCAGCCTTGGCTTGGAAGGGATAAAGGTCCTGAGGCAGCAGGAAGGAGAGGGTGCTAGTCTCTCTTCCTGCAGTACAGACAGACTGACCTTTGCCCTTCCATGTGCCAACTTGCAAAGCTGTTCTACTAGCCTCAAGGACTCAAACTCCTGAGCCGACGTCCGGCCTTCCTGGGGCTCCTACAGACTGGGGGCTCGGAGACCAGCGCCGGTCCTCTCCCGGCCCTGGAGACTGGTCCTCTCCCGGCCCTGGAGACTGATGGGACAGGTGAGCAGGGAGGGAGGGATGGAGCTGGCCGGGCCAGCTCGCGAGAGGGCCCAAGGGTGGGTGCCGCCTAAAACCTTAAGAAGGAGAGACAGACTTCAGTTGGATGTAGAGGCAGGGAGACAGAAGAAAATGAAACCAAGAGCAGGAAAGAGGAATAGAAAACGGAAAGACGGAGTAGAGAGAGACACAGAGACTTGACAGAGAGTGAGGAGAGAGAAAGATGGGGGACAGACAGACTGAGTCAGACAGGGTGAGAGTGGGAGAGAGAGAGACAGTAACAGGGGTGG